GTGTAATTTTATTTAAGAATTTATTATAATAACCTCATAATATGATCGGGTTAAGGGGGGGAGAAAAAAAATTTTTTTTTATTTATTAAATTATATTTTTGGTGCCAAGTCACAATATTTTGAAGTTCGAGGTAAATTTAGTTGAAAAATGAAAGTTAAGGGACTGAATTGAGGATTTAACTTTTTTTTTTTAAAAACCTTTAGTCAGCAATGGGGCCCACGAAAAAATTGGCAGCAAGTAGACTTCCTTCTCGTGGGGTTCCAAGTTGGCATGCCAGGTTGTCAAAAAATTCTGAGTTGGCACTGACATGCGTATACTTGACGGAAGCCAACGGTGCACATGCTACACGTGACGTTCCGGCATTAAATTTTGCCTCATTTCCTCAACTCGAAAACGTTGAGGGTAAAAATCCATATATTGTAATATGGAGGGTAAAAACCCTAAAAGTCAAAAAGTTAAGGGGCAAACGGGTACCTTTTGCCCCTTATCCTCTAGTGACCACTTCGGCAGTACAGGAAAGCTCCATTTTTCTCCATGGTTCAGAGTCGTATCATTCAACCCAGCGATGTTGGGGTTCAAACCTAAAGAGCACTGAGTAGGCATGGAACATACCCATGCTGTAGGATTTTCTCCTCTTTCTCATCGTCACTCCAGCAGTATTTCAGGATGGACTTGGGAGAAACAGAGACTTCAGCGGCCCTAACAAAGGGGTGGAAAGTGACAAAACCATCATTGCCAAGCATTGCAAAGCTTCTTTCTTTGCAGAAGTATCCATTCAAGTCAAGTGGGATCCTATATTCAAGTTCATCCCAAACATTGTCAGCATGTAATGCTATAGAGAACTCAGTTGGCTTGAAGCAAGCCAAAACCCTCTCAACCAGTTGAGCCAAATTCACCATTTTAAAATCATAACCTGCTGCCTCAAAACTAGCATAACTGAAACCATCTTCTTGTGTAACATGAATCGTTGAAATTGCACCCCTTTCAACTGAATTCATGGAGTAACCACAAGCATCAAACTCAAAAGCACATATCTCAGACTGCAGAAGAATCTTCCTGATACCAGAATCTTCAGTCATCACATTTGCCGAACTTGCATGTGTTTTATAGAAGACAGATGCCCTCTTTTTGTCCAGTCCAGTCATACACATTTCCAGAGTGTAAACAGCATCAGATTTACTCCTGTTTTCCGCAGAAGCTGAATAAATATACCATTTCTTTGAATTAACAGGACTTCCCATCACACATGCTGTGCTGCCAGAACCAAGGTTGCCAAAGAAGCCATCAAGGATCACTACTTCCTCAGAGAAACTGCGATGGGGAAATGGCTAAGCCCCAGGAAATATGAAGCTCCCGCGAGTGTAACAAACAGACCATACAAAGAGTGAAAGGTTACTAGCCAACTTAAGGATGACAGGGATTGAAAGAAGCAATTTTGTAGTCCCACAAGTCTTGATACTAATCTTATAAGGATACACAAAGATGCTTGATTCTGAAAGGACAGATGAATCGACATAATCACTAGACAGTGAAGAAACAACTGTGCATTGAGCAGGTTCCAGAATCTCATTCAATTGTGATTTGGATGAAGAACAGAAGTCCGTCCAATTGGAGTAAGCAAACACACCAGGCTCAAAAAAGGAAATCTCGAGCCTCTTTTCGTAGCCTTCAAATCCAATAGCAGAAGTAGACAAAGCCATATTGCCTTAAGAAACAAATAATACTGCAAGAAGAGAGAACAAGAGAGCAAGGTAAGAAGGAAGAAACTGATTAGATGACGATGCAGTATGTCAGAGCTCATAGGGTTATGTGAAAAATTTTATAAAATCTATGAAAAAGACCTATTTCTTACACCAAATTCAAAACTAACTGTACAAAGTAAAAAAAAAGGCCAAAAATCAGGAAGTTGTAGCCTTTCAACTACACTTATCATCAGTTTCAGAGAAATATTTCATAATTTTATTTTGAACAAATTTGGATCGGAATCAAACAAAAAAAGAACACTATTTTTTTTCTACATCTGAGACCTAACAACCCAACATGGAGGTTGAAGCTCTTACCGTTACTGATGGCAACTCCCAAGGTTCTATATTAGAGGCTAATAATAAACTCAATCAGCGAATTGCTTGTGGCTCCAATATATTCATGCCACTATATGCTTAAGTAAAGATTAAACACTGCAACCTCTCACCCAGAAGTCAATTTATCAGGCAACTTCAAGTGCTTCATATCCTTTAAAATACTTTTAGATATTAGGCCCTTCTCAGCTAGATGAGACCAAAAGAAACCTAAGATGCTATCATCCCCAGCAAAGGAAGCATTTAAACAACTATAAATTTTCATAGTTATCATCAACCTCCTCTTATACATTTCATTCAAAAAATCTGAAACAACATTCACCTTTCCCATCTTCCAGTAAGCAAAAGCCATACTGCTGTATATAACACTATCTCCTGATATACCTTTTCCTAGCATAAAGTTGAATATTCTTTGTGCATAATCAATATTTTCCTGCTTGCAAAACCTCCTTATCAGTGCCCTATATACTGAGACATCTAGGCAAAGACCTCTTTCATTAAACTCATCCAAGAGTTTAATAATTGCTTCTTCATTGCCTTGGTTGCAGTATCCATCAACAAGCCATGAGTAGGTGCAATAACCAGGAGGAAAGCCTACATCAAGCATGCCAAATAAGAGCTCTTTAGCACTGCCCAAATCCTGAACCTTGCAAAACCCATGAATCAATGCCTTGAAAGTAAACTGGTTCAGCTTCAATCCTGCCTCCAACATCTTGCTCTTTACTTTCATTGCCGACCTCATATCTCCAATCTTGGAATAAGCATTTATCAATGTGTTACAAGTGATACTATCAGGCTCAACATTCTTATCACTCATCTCATTCAAAATCCTATTAGCATCCCTTATTCTACCTTCCTCACACAACTTACGAATAATTGAATTATATGTAACAACACTGGGATACAAACCCTTGGCCTCCATTGCCTCACGCAATCTCAAAGCTTCCTTGAGATCATTCACTCTACAATAACCATCAATCAAAGTAGTATACGTCACAAGGTTAGGAGTTGCATCCTTAATTTCCTTAAAGAGCCTTAAAGCCTCCCTCATTCTACCTTCTCTACAAAACCCATAAATAAGGGAATTATAAGTTATAATATCAGGACTAACTCCTGATCTTTCCATTCTATCCTGAACAGATAAAGCCTCATAATGCATACCCTTCTTGCAATACAATGCAATCAATGTATTGTATGTAAAAAGGTCAGGTGATACACCATTAAACTCCATCTCACCCAACACCTTCTCCATCTTATGCACATCCCCAGACTTGCAACAAGCATGAACCAACACATTATACACATGTATACTTGGAACAACTCCAAGTCTAGCCATCTTCTTATAAAGTTTCCAGACCATATGAGTTGACCTCTCTTTCACCAAAGAGTTCAAAAGCACGGTACAAGCATGCAAATGAGGCTTGAAACCAAGCACCCTCATTTGCTCAAACACTTGGATAGCATCTTGGGTCATCCTCAAATTTGCATAGGATATCACAAGCCAGCTCAAAACGTGAGAATTCACATCTGGGTCACAATGGGTACTCACCAAAGCATTCAAAACAGAGGGTGATGACAAGAAATCCTTGTGGGCAATTTTCTCAAGCAGGTTCTGTGCAATCTTGAAATGTCTGTGGATGGTGAGAATATGAACCATTGTCCACGAAGATTGCAAGGAATGCTTGTAATTTGGAACGGATTCAACCCATTTGTAGAATTCCCAAGAAAGCGAAGGACCATATCCATACAGCGAGAGTTCAAAAAGCACCTGGTTAATAGCTGCTGAGGTGACATGGTTACCGACATTGGGTTTCAAGATATCCTTCCACCGTCCCTTTAGTACAATGGCACAAATACTATGGATGAATTGGGTTTCTAGGGAAACTTTGCCAACCATTATAGTTTCTCACTTCTAGGACTGCCACTTCCGACTGATCTACAATCTTCCCCAAAATGGAACTCGAAAAAGCAAACCGGCACTGGCGTAGTTGCGAAGCACAAAAATAGATCTATGTGGAATAAAACCTGGATCCATTTAAGAAAATGAAGTGGTTAGGCCTAAACCGGACAAAATTTATTCCCAAAATATTTAATTTGGGCTTTAGATGGAAGTCCAATAAAAATCATACCATTGGGTTTTCACGATAAGACTCAAGAAAAGAGTAGCAGATCAACACAAAATAACATATAATTTATATAAAATCTATCAATGGATCTACATTTAACGTAATAAAGGGAGCATAAATCAAGGGTCCATTAAAATACCAATGTTTAAATCAACCAAACATTTCAAACACCCATCATATATTCTTATGATTACACAGAAAGTGATCAAACTTTGAAAAATAAAAAAAAAAATAAAATAAAAGGAAAAAAGCAATGAACACTGATTTGAAACAGAGCAGAAAAAATTCAAACTTTTATCATTCATACAACCCACAAAAATAAATTCCATATACTAAATCAACATAGAAAGCATGACGATGAAGATGAAGAGTGCCACCTTCAAGCTAAGAGAGATGGAGTAAGCAAATACTCGATCGAAGTCAGCTTTAATCGAGGCCATTGGGTGGCAATTTTGGAAGTCATCTTCGGGATTTGACGATAAGACAAAGACTGATGCCAAGCCATGGACTTTGTAGATACTGAGGTTTAAGAGATGGATTAGACGACTTGGGTTTCAATTTTTTTTCTCATTGAGAGGCCACGGGACATGTTGACGATAGACTGGAGAAGGAGGTGGCATGAAAACACCCGGCGGCAGTGGGCTCCAGCATGGAAATAGTTCAGTGGCCATGGGCTTCATCGAGAAGGAGCTCCGGCAGCGATGATGAAGAAATGGGATTTATTTTTTTGGGAGAAAGAAACTGGGGTTTATTTAGGTATTCTCTTCTAAATTAGGGAAAACGGGAAATCAGGCCGACCTGGAAATAAAATTGCCAGGACAGCCATAAAGAAACGGTGCATTTTAGCAATAAACCCTTCTTCTAAACTGAATCACATCTCTTTCACGCAAGGCTGAACTGTGAAATTCTCTTTCCTAAAATCCCATTTCTCCCCTCCATAACCGAGGCTCAAACTTCCTAAAACCATTCCCTTCCTCTTTTAATCAGTGACACTGGCCTTAGTCTGAATCAAATAAATCTGGGTTTTGAAATCAAATAAACAGTAGCTATTCCTTAAAAACAGAAGACCTTACGCCAAAGACTATAGCAAAGATTGAATTTTGTTCGCAGCACCACCCAAAAAGCATAAACAACTTGAATTCCAAATGAAGTTTACCTGATTATAAGTTTGTGCCTAAATTTGTGCTTTCCATAGGTAATTCATTCAAATTATTTTGTATCGAACAACCCATCTGTTTTCTTCACCTACAACTAAGGGAAGAAAAGTAAATGAAATAGGAAAACAGCTGGTGTTTGGAAATGGAGATTGACATGGAAACGATGGCTTCATAATTGAGAAGAAGAAAAATTGGACGAGCTGCTAACCTTAATCAACCAGAAATTACCAGAACAAGAAAAAAAATATACAACAAAAGTAGGATGCAATATATTAACTCAACTTGCAAGGAAGTCGACAAAGATTCCTTCAGGGACGTGTGATGTTCCTTGGTGACTTTAGGCTTCAGGGAATCCTGTAGGAAGAAGAGATTTCCGTGTGATGTTCCTTGGTGACTTTAGGCTTCAGGGAATCCTGTAGGAAGAAGAGATTTCCGTGTGATGTTCCTTGGTGACTTTAGGCTTCAAGGAATCCTGTAGGAAGAAGAGACTTGAGTGCAGTGGAAGAGCTCTAGAGAAGTCTGGAAGCATTTATTTCGAGGATATACCAAATGATTAAACGCACCGTTCCTTGTCCGACTTGCTCCTTTTTTATGTAAATCTAATAATAATTATACGACACTGGTTAGAATAAGTATCTCCTTTTTCAAATCCATTTCAAGATTTAAAGTATAAAATTTTTAACTTAAAATTTTAAAGTTTTTACTCATTAAGACACTCTTAAAAACATTTATTGGTGTAGGGTGTAATTTTTAAATTTTATATTGTAAATTTGGTATGCTAAACATACTTATCTTATGAATAATAACTTAAAAAGAAACTAGCTCAAAAGAAGGGGTGGGGTTATTGCCACAGCCACTAATGTTAATGCCACAGCTTTTTTCAGTTATTTGACCATTAACCCACGCGGAGAAGGTGGTGACTGCTGTAAGTTGGATTCAAATGAGGGGTATAATAATCAAATAACTAAAAAAAGCTGTGGCATTAACATTAGTGGCTGTGGCAATAACCCCACCCAAAAGAAGTACGTGGCTTATTTGGTAAAGATTTTGTTTTTTATTTTGATAATTAAGATTTAATGTTTTAAAAAATTAATAAAAAATAATTTTTTATAAATTTTTTAATTTTAAATAAATAACTTATTTTTAATTAGACTAAAAAAAATAAATTTAAATTACCCATAAACTGCCTCTGTCCCGAGACAGCTTGACTATTAATCCAAAAATAAAAAATATAAATAAGATGCATACAGAAGGTCTTGTCGCGAAACAACATCAACAATCATCAAGCGTGTTACTAAGGACAATATTCCTAATCGAATCGATCGAGTATGTTTGGTAAAATTTATAAATATTTTAATTTTTTAATATTATTTATATTTCATAAATTTAAATTTTTTTTCAAAAAATTTATATTTTTAATTTATTTTTAATTTTAAAAAATTTTAAACAATAAATTTTAAAAAATTTTAATTTTTTATTTTTTATAAATTTTTTTTACTCACTTTTTAACTCATTTTTATTATTTTTAAAAATAATTTTTAAAATTTTCATTCAATAAAAATTTAAATTTATAACTCATAGAAAGTATAAAAAAATATAAAAATTTCACAAAACTCTGCCAATTAGGTCCGATGTTAAGTTTGACAAGAATGCCAGATAACAGAGACAATGTAAGCTGGTCAGCAAAAACCATAAACAAAAGTTTATCCTAGTCATGAAAGCAAAAGAACAACCATTAATAAAACCAAATCTCTTAAAATTTAATTCATAATCATTTTTTTTCTCAATTTCTAATATTAATTTACAGAGCTGTTGGGCCAAAAAGAAAAATTTACAGAGCGGGGTTCATCTTGTCCAAACATGAGAGATACCATAACAGCAGTCCCTCTATTGACACAATTACAATGGCTTGCAAATTTTTCTTCATATGATGAAATTGCAACCAAAAAAACAAAAAAAGAAGGGAACATTGTACGTGTTTAGGTGCCGGTTTGGCTCCTTCTCAGTGAAACTCTATTGAAGTTCTTTCTGCTTCTCAAGTATTTCAGCAGATTGAATATGCTTTCCATCTTTCTTCTCGTACTCATCTTTGGAACCTTCCAAGCTCCTGGATACCTAATAATCATGCAAACATGCATAAACATGGAAATGATTAATTAAGATCCATCTGTAACCTTAAGTACTGCCCGGAAACATGCATGGGAAATATAAGGTGCGGCTCAGTACCTACACCACAGTGCTCATTCTTGGGCAATGGCATAACTAAAATGGGTATCCATTCTAGTTCCTTAAGTGGAGATCTTTCTGTCTGGTTTTTCATTTGTGATAGGGTTTTATTGGACACATGGAGATTATTGGCATTTCTTAATTATAGTGGTAAGTAACAAAATCTCTGGAAGTACAGGAGTTTAATCTTCCTTTTTTTTTTTTTGAACTTGTACAATTGGGGGATTGGAAATGGGATTGCCAAGGCTTGAACCTTGGACTTCTAGGTGTCACCACTCTTCTCAAAGGACAACGGTGGTTGGTCAAAAGTTAAATCTTGAAAACTATTACTCCACATTAAAGTTCATAACATGCAGATAAAATGCAATGGAGATCTTAGAAAGAATAGCATAGAGAAAGTATAGAGAGAAAGAGAGAGAGAACCTTTATTGAGTAAGCCATTGGAAGTAATGTATCTGGATCCATTGCATCCTCAGGGAAGTTACGCAGAGAATGAATGAGTTTCTCAAAAGGTAATTTTATCTGATGACAACAAGTACTGGCATTTAAGCAGAAAACAAAAATAGTACTTTGGGTCTAAAAAAGACTAAATGACCTAAGGTCCTTACCAAGTCATCATGGCAGTACTTTAATAGGGCCAAGCCAACTTTGAAGACAATTTTGACACCCTAAAATAGAAAACAGAAAATTGCATTTTCTTAAACCATCTTTGAGACCAAAAGGAGGGTAACAGTTGAAAAAATATATGATGTTTCTAGTTATGTACCTCATAGAGAAAAACATCCCAAATTCGTAGAGCCAAATGGAAGGGAAATGAGTATGAGAATACAGTAATAAACCACTGGCTAGCATACATGCTAGGATTTATCATTTCTTGGCTGAAATGCTCCCCCAGCTTTGGCAAATGCTCCCTCACCAAGTGGTCAAACTGAAATAGGTATTGTTGTACAAGAGGCAAACCAGCCTGCCAATATATAATCATATAAAAGGGCTTTCAACGAAATTAAATAAAACTCTAATTAGTTGACACCCAATAGAGATTTTTAAAAAATTGTCCAACATGCTCCAGGAAATTCTGGCCACAATTGGACCATTTGTATTTAATAAAGAAGGATTGAAGATATCACCATAGCATATTCTCATGAAATTAAAACAAGCGAAGTTAAGACTTAGAACGATATTGAAAAGTAAACTGTTTAAACAGCTACCAAAGAGTTCCTCAGAAATTATCAGAAAGCAATGGAAATAAACTACTTATAAATATTATGCAGAGAAGAAGACTGTGGGTTATGGTGCTGAATATTATAAAATTAAAGCTGGAAAATTCCAATGACTAACAAACAAGAAAGCGGCGGTGAAACATAGGATTAAATCAGAGGTCAGATGCAACCTCTTGAGAAAGTGACAGTTGCAATCACTCGAAACTCCTTTTCAAATGCTTAGAATTTTCTAGTTAATGCTGTATTCAGTCTAACAAAATAAGTTATTGGAACAACAGAATTACCTGATATAATCCTTCCATAGGGGCATGGACAGCACCTTTGAGTAATGCAACTAATAACCAAAATGCATCCTCTTCGCTCATATAAAGAAGCAAAAAACCTGCTAAAAAACCCATTCCCTGCATTTTAAACAAAACTGATGGTGTTATTACCCTAGAACAATATAAGAGTGCTGAGGCACATGATACTAATCTGAAGATAAACATATGGCCAAAGACAGTTAAAAATATGAGAGAACTCAGATGCATGATATTAACCTGAACATAACCAACTTCACGGTCAAAGACAGAATATGCCTTCAAAACATTGTAGAGGGACCTTTGCCCAGGCCCATGTCTCTGCTGGAAGAAAACATGTGAAGGGAAGGTGCGAGATATATCCCGAATTATATCTAATTCTGAAGCAGATGTCTCATATATAACAAGTTGCTGAAAAAGGCAAAAAGTTTGATCAGCAGCCCGTTCATTTGGAGAAAAGAAATGAATATAATACAAAGGCCATTGTTCAGAAACAACAAATCAGTTAGTTAAGAGACTCGGACCAAATTCACAAGAGAAACTAGGAAAAGAGGTACCTCATATACCCCTGGGTTCATAAGCAAAAGGTCTCGACTTCCAGAGATCAGTTGCCAAACAAGGCCCCTTAAACAATCAGGAATTCCTTTCCGTATACGCCTCTTGACCACATGAGGTTTCCTCCTAACATAATGCTTCCAATCACTCCCTCCAACCCCAATCATCTTCCTCCATTTTCTAACTCTTCTTGTCTCCCTAAAATTTGTTTGAAAACCATAGATTACGTCGTGGAGGAAAAGGCAATGAAGCATGCCAATTACACTGATATTAGCTAATAGAACTTTAAATAAATATGCTAAAGAAAATGCATACCTCTCGTATTCAATATTCAACCTACTCTTCAATAAACCTTCTGGAGAATTACTAGCATCCTGCTTTATAAGCCCAAATTTGTCTAGTGCTCTAGGAGAAGGAACTCGCTCCATTACACTATCTCCAAGAAGCTTGTATTCCTTAACATGGTGGTCATACCTGCAAGCAGAATCTATAACTTCAACCATAATAAGAGGAATTCAATATCAAGAAATTATATCAATTCTTCACAAAGATTAAAACTTTACACAGAGAACAGGAAGAGAACAAACTAACAATGAAAACCCAGAAATACTTTGCGAAAAATATTAAATGGGCATACTCCAAAATTGCAAATCAAACGATAAAAAGAACGGATAATATTCTGAAACCCAGAAAAATTCCTACCTGCGAGAAGGGAACTGGAGTCTGGAATCAAATATCTATCCGGCTTTGATCGGTGGTGTGATAATGATTATCTAAGAATGGTAGTTTCTGTTGGAAATCTCCAAACCAATCGGGGTTAATTTGTCCCTGACACCCGTAAATGCACAGAGAAAAAAGAAAAATGAAAAAAGAAAAAACAGAAACTGACAATAGCAATTTTTTCGAGAAAATACATCTTACCGCGTATATGCGCGTATTGTAATCTGCAAGGAAAATGGACTCTGAAACGACGTCGTATGATACATGTCCAATTGGGGTACATGATCGACTGATCGACGGCTAGGATGCTTTGTTATTGTGAGGAAGTGTTGGCCAAATCAATATAGTGATTTTTCTTTGTAAATAATCATAATATGAAAATATTAGTTTAGTAATAAATATAAGTAGTTTTATCTTTTAACTAATTTTTAACTACTAAATTAAATTGAATTAGTATCATCTTTTATTTTAAAATATAATATATAAAAAATTATATGACTTTAACATTTTTAAGTATAACTATAATTTTTAGTTATTTTATTAATAAA